CAAGTTTCAGGTGAGAAACGCAAGCCAAGAGCACTTGTGGTCGACTTAAAATTGAAAGGTTTGTAAAATATTTTAAAGTTTAATATTTTAAAGCGATGTCCGGGTATATTATTAGTTATGGCAAAATTCAAAGAGGAATAATTATGACGGACAAGGAAGTATTTGATTATGAATAGAAGAAGGATATCTCTAAAAAGTACTTCTTATGGTCGGAAGTAGTATTAAATTATGACCGTTTAAACATTTCCCCAAAAAAATTTCTTGTCACGTGACTTCTGAGGATTACCCCCCCCTGGGTGATATTAGGTGACAAATTCCAGACCCCTCCCCCCCCTTCGATCGATCACGTGATTTATGGACGCTCCCAAAGAGCTGTAAATATTTGACGCAGTTGACAGCAAGTATCCTCCGATGATGATGATTGATGTTGTTGATGTTGTTGTTATTGTTGGGCTCTGTTGTTTGGGAATATAAAAACTTGAATGCCGCTAGATTGGAATACATGGGATCCATTACCGCGAGGGCATGCGGTACATGTGTGGGATTCATTAAGGAAACAAAGCTGGGGCGATGCAGAGAGTAGAACTCGTTTTTCCGACCAGGGGGTTTGAATAATCTTTCAATAAAGTCCCTTGATGTCACAAGTTTAGCAACCCGTCTGTGTGTAATATATGTTGAACTTTTGCAGGGTTTCAGACGGTCAAAATGAAATTTTGTGTGACGTGCTGCTCCATGCTCCAAAATATATATGGCAAATGCTTTCGCTGCACTTGTTACGTGTTCATAATCCCAATTGGTTAATTTGTTTAAAATGTAGCACAAATTCAATATGTTCCCTTCCTTTCTTCCGCCACTGTCAAAGAGGCGAACGTTGATTTCATTGGGTTTCAACCAGTATCTTACGGTGCAATCCTCATAATACGATAGTCTTTCTGTAAATAGTTCATCTGTTGCATTCATTCGGCGGCTTATATGAGATATCAATCCCAGACTCCTGCACAAATTATTGTCATGTCGCCTTTGTGATGTAGATACAGAAATCCCAAAACACATGTATGCTATAATAGCTTCACACGCACACAATGTGTGGAATTTTTCAACAGTCAATAGGTACGAATTTTCACTGCCTCTGTCGTTGAGAATGTTCCAGCATTTTGACACTTCAAGATCCAATGTATGAAAGACAGGATCAATGTACATTTCAATACGACCAGCCAGTTCTGCTAATGGTACCCTCAGGAGCATGTTTCTTTGACCACATCTGTGTCTTTCGTAACTTTCTCGGGCAATTTCTACAGTTTTCTTCATTGTTTCCTCATCGGGGGTTAACGTACTCACGATGAATTCTGTTCTGCATCTTACCCTCGTTTGACGTTTCAGCATATTCACGTTATTCTTCACAATCTCCAACCCTCTCTTTGCACTCTCAAACTCCTTTTTCATAGCAACTGTCAACGGTTTTACGCGAAACATTGACTTCCAGAAAAGTGCGCCAAATATAGGTCTCTTAAATGGAGAGTTTGTAATACGGCGAACATCTTTCAAAGTTGCACTATAAAACTTGCACATTCTTATTGACGGAACATTTTCAGCTTGGTCTTCATCATACACAAAGTAACTATTAGCTGTTGATCCATATCCCATTACACAGTATTCAAATGCTATTTTCTTATTCATTGCTTCTTCAAGTTCCTTGCACCGCCAGAATAGTGCGCTCCCATCTTCTTCTATATCAAATGCAACATGTAGCACAACTTCCACCGCTTTATCCAAATTAAACCTACGTAGCACCCTTTCCATTTCTACCAAACTGCCACATTGCCCCACACCTTGAGTTATAAAGAACACGTCTTCCAACTCTGGAATTGTACTGATCATATTCCTTAGACGAGCCGCCAGCCGTCCACCAAAAATGTGCACATCACTCATTAGGACAATTCTCAGTGATCCTCGTTGAACCATGTGCTCAGAACATCTGTACAATCCACCAGTTTCTGTACCCGCAATATCTAGAAACGGCTCATGCATGGATATCTCCACTCTTTCCAACAGTTCACCATAAGGAAAAGTCCTCGTGTTTCCTAGAACATGTAACCATCTATATTATTAAGTTAGTCTTCTTACAATTCCATATTTCCCACAATTCCATATTTCCATATTTCTCATAATTCCCACAATTCCCATATTTCTCATAATTCCCACAATTCCCATATTTCTCATAATTCTTTAGCCTAGCGTGAGACGGGCTTATAAGCTAGTACTTCAAAACATTCACTCTGAATTTCTAGTTTTTTTTGTTTCCACAATTTTGATTCCACAATTTGCATAAAATATTCTTACCCAAAAATCCTATCAAACACTCCATCTCCTGGAAGGCACCAAATCTTATAGTATAAATACTCCCCTCACATTGCAGAGACTTCACACATTTGAAATACGAGGAACTTCTATTAACAACTTTAAGAGGATAGGGGATGTTGAGGAAACAAGATGGCGAACAAAACTCCAATGTAGAAGCCACGATCACAACGCCGTCAATCCTGATTACAGCTGGAAAAATATCCATTGTATATACTTCACGTTTGGGAGCTCCTTCCAGTTGCACAACTTGATTACGACTGTTTTACGTTGGTAACCCCCAATACATTTAAATACAAAATTATGAATTATGCTGAACAATGGAGCGAGTTTTGCCAATATTAAATAGTATGAATTATGTTAAAAAACCGACCGATTTTACATTATGAATTATGTTGAACAATGGAGCGAATATTGCCAATATTAAATAGTATGAATTATGTTAAAAAACCGACCCAGATTTATATTATGAATTATGCTGAAATACCGACCGTTTTTTAAACACAAATTTCGTCTTCATATCAATTTATTAATTCTCTCAAATCAAACTAACATAACACAAAATATCAATGTATTAAGAGTCCTCTAATATGAAACTACATCACAGAATATATTAATGTATTAAGAGTCCTCTAATATCAAAGAGTAGAAACAAATTTGTTTCGAAAGTTCATTTATATTGACTGGTTTATATTGACTCATTTATATTGTCCCCGACCCCGAAAACATTTTTTTTATAAAATTCATTCATACTAACTGACTACGAATTACTCCGACTCTGATTCTGACTCTACGTCTGAAAATTTGGACCTTTCCCGCCCATCCCCCTGTGCCCCCATCATGTCGTCCTTAACCCCCTCGTCACTACTTTGATCTTCATCCTCACTACTGTCTTCATCCTCACTACTGTCTACATCGTCATCAGACCGTTGCGTCTCTGGGGTTACTGGCCGATTTTCAGCCTCCTTATGTGTCATGTGTGGCGCGGGTGTGGCTGGTAGATCATCCTCGTCCGAAAAATGCGGCTCCGGAGTCGCTGGTGGTGGGTAGTAGTGAGGTGGCTCCTCAAGTTCGTCCTCTGGAACTTGGCCCCTCTCTCCTTCCATTTGTTGCACTAGCGCAGCAACGGCTTCCTCGTCCTCTCTCTGTGCCTTTTCAGCAGCTTCTAATTCTTCCCTTTGCTTTTTCTCCTTTTCGATCCTATGCTTTTCGACTACTGCAGCCCTTTCAGCTTTTTTCTTCTCACTGTCCACCTTGTTCCTCTTCTTAGCGAGCTCGCTCTCCTCATTGTTTTTCTTTTTAACTGGTCGTTTCTTGCTTTCAATTCAGCAGCGGCTTTCTGCGACGTCCCAGCTACAGCTTTCATGGGGTTGGCAGGTGGTGTTCCGACTGCCCGACCTTCCTTGTCGTTCTTGGGCGGAGAAGATGGGCAGATGAATCAATCATCGTGTATCCGGACCGATATATAAAGGTATCAGCAGGGATCTGAAAATAGAGAATTACCTTTTACTAAACCGACCAGGATCGCGACAAAACTTGCAACAAATTTTAACTCAATTGCTTACCGGCACTTTCACCAAATCGCTGACAAAATTTGGTGATTTTGATTTTGATTTTATGTAAAATCATGCTTGAAATATAACTACAACTGGACAATTCACCGTTACTTATGTATTTAGACCATTACATTTTCTGCGAAATCCAAAGCGATAAAGTTACGAAACTCTTAAACATTTTCAAAATGATTAACTTATGGGTACACCACAAATGTAACAAGAATAACCAGACTAGTTACCACAGAAACAATCACCTTATACCAGTGATGATACTTGACAATGTTTGCAGGATACCTCCAACACACAATGAGCAAGACTAGTATTGCACACGCCATGTGAATAAATTCTCCATGACAATTTGCAGCAGCATTTATAATTGACCAAAAAAATCCGCACTTGCTCCTCTCCACTTTCCAATTGGCAATCATTACAGCAAATGTTGGTATTGCGGAATGTATAAAGCAGTAACTGATAGCAGAAACGATAAAGAACACGATGAAAATTTGAAAGTTGGAAAAGTAATAGTGCTATGGTGCAGGGATGGCGTATTTTTCGGCAAAATAATGAACTGCTAGGCAACCTCCATAAATTCCGACCATGGCGTACTGTACGAAAACCCTTTTCAATCGTGACGCCACCTAAGTGAAGAAATTCCAAAGACGTCATACCATCTTATTGTAAAACTAGCCTATAAGCTTGTCTTAAAGACGGGCCGCGTTGAAAATGGGCGACCATTTTGCTAAGTAATTTTTTTAACGTTGCTAGGGAATTTTTTTAACGTTGCTAGGGAATTTTTTGTAGCGTTGCTAGCGAATTTTTTGTAAGGTTGCTAGGCAATTTTTGGTAAGGTTGCTAAGGAATTTTTTAAGGTTGCTAAGGAATTTTTTTAACGTTTCTAAGGAATTTTCTTGACGTTGCCAAGGAGTTTTTTTAACGTTTCTAGGGAATTTTTTTCACGTCTATAAGGAATCTTTTTAACATTGCTAAGGAATTTTTTAACGTTGCTAAGGAATTTTTTTTTGATGTTGCTAAGGAATTGTCTTGACGTTGCTAAGGAGTTTTTTTTAACGTTTCTAGGGAATTTTTTTAACGTTGCTAAGCAATTTTCTTGACGTTGCCAAGGAATTTTTTTAACGTTTCTAGGGAATTTTTTTCACGTTTTACCATAACCATAACCATAACCATAATCATAACCATAATCTAAGCTAATTGGTGGGCCTAGAACCCCAACAGCCAATCAGAATGCTGGAATGTCACGGAAAATTTCACGGGACGGACTTTTCGAAATTATAATATAGATATGGGTCGGCATTTATCCAGAAGAGGAATGGCACAGTGATAAATAGGGCGATGAAACCGAACATTGCCAAAATGAATAAAATATAGATTCTTCCGGTAAAATGGAAATGGTTGTCCTCAGCTTTCACTACAAATTGGGGTATAATTTCTCTCACCCTGATTAAATGCTGGACCCCCTCAATGTAATCCATGTAGTTGTAAAGGGCACTGTAAATGTAGCGGCAGGACAATTGTGAGAATGTTTTTTTTGGAAAGTTCCGCATCATTTTCGGGTTTAGATTGACCAGCGGATTTTTCAGAAATTTCTTTTAAACCTAGATAACGTAACTTTGAATAGACAAGGCTGGACTTGTCGTCAAGAAAAATTTGAATGTATAAATGATTGACAGAATTATCGATCTGATTTTCAGTGTGATCCCAAAATGATGACGCCATACTGACATACTCATCAACCTCCGTAACTACATTAGCTTCCGAGCATTTCGAGTATAGCGGGTAGGACAGCTTACACCAGAAACTTTTAAAGAGGTCGTAGTCTTGAAGAATTTTCAATATTTGATCTCCATGTAGAGAATGTAGCCGCACAATATTACGATTCATATCCCTTGTTACTAAACCGTGGCCCTCCAAATGACCCAACTCCTTACGAAACACTTTATCCTCAATCGAAGTATCTTCGTAGATTAGGAGCTCTTTAACAACTTTATAAGATTGGGATATTGAAATGTTTTCCGAAAAGTAAGCCATTGCGCATAAAACAGTAAGTGTTTGCAGGCGCAGTTGGCTTATTCTCTGTAGTACTTGCTTCATTTCACTTAATTCTTCCTAAGGTTTTGCGGAAAATTGTTCGAAGTTATCGTCCGATTTTCTGAAATTTGCTCCAGCGTCTTTAATGAACAGTGGATAATTCAATTTCTTTGCTAAATTGTGTACTGCCTTTTTGTCAACTTGATCTATTCCAAAATTGTGCATGATCATTGTTTCCGCATCCTCAATATCCATAATTTTTAGTTCGTATGGGAATGCATCTATTGGCAAGTTGTCACGCGTAGTTGCAATCCTCCTACTCTTTGCTTGTGAATATTTGAAACAAACGAATGCATTTCCTTTTTCTCTTCATTTCTGCAATTTGATGTATTAATGGATTCTTCAGTAGATTCTTCACCATGTCTGGAAGTACGACTTGTGTTTAGCCGAAGTTGACTTATCCCATCCTCATATCGATCAACGTCGAGATCGTGATCAGTCCTGTGCATCCCATTAATTGAGTTGGCGTCGATAAAAAATGTTGCCGCTTTAAGTTTCTGATCAAGTTCTGGTAACTCTGTGACGTTAGTGGATGACTCTGTTTTCACTGGAACGAACTTATCCAGAAAACCATCTAGTATCACAATTAAATTGGTATTGCGATGCTTTTTACTCGCGGTTTTAAATAAATCTTCCAAATTTGTATTCATGTTATTTCGGATGCTGGCACTCTTCTTTTGCAACGAGGCAAGTAGTGCATCGGAACTATTGCAATTTAGCCACATGAAGTTAAAATCTGCATTATCGAGTCTAGCTTTTGTAGCATATTCGGCCATATTGACGACTTCCCCATTCCTGAAAAATTGTATTTTTGATAATGGCTTCAAATTATTTGCAATTTTCACTACCTGGCATTCCGTAAACTGGCATTCCGTAAGCATTTCTTAGTCTTGATAAGGTCACACAGTTCAGAAAGTTCTTTTTCTCGACCGATGAATTTTAGCGGAACTACGGTCGATATCTCTTCCCCATCATCTATAAAGCCAACAAAAGAAAACAATGAACTGACTGATCGTGAGTAGTATTCAATCGTAATTGGTAACGTTAGTCAAATAGGAGTTAATTATTTCGCAAAATACTTCTTACAAACTTGTCAATCTCCAGATCATGTTATGTATAAGAGATAAGGAAGTGCTCACGGTTAAGTTGATAAATTCGATGTATCTCTTCTTCGGATCGGCGTTTCGTTTGATCAAATTCCATCATACTTTGTAACAATTCCTTTAATTCTGTTTTAAATCCCTCAACACTGTGCAGTAATTCTAAATACAAAATTCAAAATTATAAAACACTAAATAATGAAATTATGAAAACAACGTAATAAAATTTACCAAAATTATGTTTTTCTTCACTAATCGCCCAAAAAATTTCTTTTCTGTTTTCTTCAAGGGCAACCATTGTTTCATAAAATATCAATCCGGTTGAATAAATGTCCGTTTTTTGATCATAATTACCACGCTGCATTTCTGGGCTTTGATAAATTCTCGTCCCCACTACTTCACTATTATCTTGTTGCTTATCATCAATGATAAGCGCCAGGCCAAAGTCTCCGGTTTAAATATGCACACTTTTCTATCTGATGAAAAATTTGCAAAGATGTTTTCTGGCTTCAAATCCCGATGTGTAATATTTTTGCCATGAATAAAACACAGAGCATCAAGTATTTGACTGAAAATTTGTTTTTCTATCATATCTCGGTTCTCATATCGACATTCTTGTGTTGGCCACTTTTTTGCAATAATTTCTTTTAAATTTGTAGAACATAGTTCAAGTTTTAAACAGAAAAATTTGAATGTAGTATCTTCAACTTTGTGTTGGCCAGGAGTGGAGGATTCATTGGTGGAACTGGTGTAGAGTGTTGATCCATCAGAACTTTCTCTATTTTTGAATTCGTCATGTAGTGAGTCTACCCAACTATCAAAGTAGCGATTCACGTTTTCATGCGTCAATCTAATTAATGCTGATACTTCTTCCATTAACGGCTCCATGCAGTCTTTCATTGGTTGTCGTAAGTTTCTCTTAAGTTTATCCAGGGAAATTTGCTTAACTGCAAATTTGTGACAAAGCTGGGGTTCGTTGACATTTTTGATTGCCTTGGTGACATTTTTATCCATGACTTCATACACTTGTCCGTATGATCCTTCACCAATAAATGCTATACACTCCAAATTTTTTCGCAATTTCCAGAGAAACTTGTTCGTTCTCTCCGGTGTGTTCGATGCTGCCATTTTTTACTCTTAAATATTTACTGGTAATACTAATATTTCGATTGTAGTCTGCAATGCAGGTTTTATAAAATCAAGCCAAGCTGCTCGCTCCTGTCAGCCCTAAACTCGAATAAGAGCGTGAGTTTGCTTCACTTACGCTTTTATAACCTCATTCAGCAGCCCAATTCAAAATGCTTGAGATATTTATCATCAAATAAAGTTTATTATACACTTGCACATAACTTTTGTGACATAAGTTAGTGGGTCAATATGACAATCTAATATTTGATTTGTCAAACCATTTACTTTTCTGATAATATTGTCATATACATATTTACAATCTAATCAGAAAAGTGTAGGGTCCAAAAAAGTCATTGAGTGATTGATTGATGCTTTATTGGTATGTCTAACAAGTTCACAGTAAATCGTGCTCTTCCACACGTGATATATACAGTGCATAATGAACAGCAGAGTAGAATGCTAGATGGTGAGAGTTAAGTATAAGTCTGTTATGGAAAATTTTTCGAGAAACTTTGACTTTTTGAAATATTTTAAGCACAATATTTTCGATTCACTACATATTTACCGATTACCATGTGGCCCTTTTTAAGGGACTCAACGAAGAATGCATCTAAATTTAGTAGTTTTGGACGTAGGTCGAAGATGAATCATAAATAAATGAATAGCTTTGACAAGCGATTAATACAGTTTAAACAGATATTGTAAACAGTAGTAGAAGTACATAAGCAAAAATGATGAAATGATGTGTTTAACCACTAGGACGCCACATTCGCATTTAAAGATGAAATAATTGAAGAAAAGTTAGGAGTATTCCCGTGCACAAATAAACAAGTGCTTGTCGTCGTACTCCATCTGATTTGATATTCATCTAAATAGACGCAAAATCTATCGCGGCGACATCAATTAACTTTGACACCTGGCAATAAGGTGAAGATGGATGATGATGAGAGATTAGATAACAAGGGTCAAATGTTGGCCCAACATTATTGAGCGTTGATGATGATGATACTACATAATGGAACAAACGAGAGTGAAATCCTGGTATTATGATCCCAACAATTGGCTTAGTAGTGGAGATAAAGATATAAATGTGACAGGTGAATGTCAGCCGCAATTCCAGTTCTGTTTATCCAACCCTCCTTCACACCCGTAAGCCACCGAAAACCACCAACAAGAAATATAATTGGAGTCAGTAGAAAACAACTTGAGAAAACGACATGAGATGTGTGATTAATAGGAAAGGTGTTGATGTGGAAAGTGAGGTGGTCTAAAACTTTTGCTATTTCCCAAATCCTCCAGAATTGGTTCTTAATTTGTTTTCAGAGTGGTCGGATTGCGTCTGTTTGAAATCCTCCTGGATCTGAATATGTTGAATGATGGGTCTGGGACTTGATAAGCATGCTTACCACAATAGTTGTACAGCTTCCCATGACAACGACAATTTTTTAACACTTTTTTAAATCAGGATAGAAATTTGTATCAATGTCTAAATAGTTAAGGTTTAGTGCAGAGTTGTGCAAAATTTCATCCTCCGCTTCTAAAACGATTGAGATGGATATGACATTTGGAAATTTTTCCAAGGTCTGATAAACCGGAACAAATAAATTACTGGACCCTAAAACCACAGGAAAGTTTTCATAAAATGAATTTAGCTCAGCGATCCCATTTATTTTCGAATTCGTGAACTCAAACAGGTATTTTTTTAGAAAAAATGATCAAATTTGTCATTCTGGCTCTGATATGGATTCCATAAATGCTTAAATCGATGCTGAATAAATAAAAATTTAAGCATTTTATTCCATATTTAATGTGTCAATTTATTCAAGTAATCAATACACAGGAGCAGGCCTAAAAAAGTCTTCATCAGAATTGCCAACAATTTTATCCTCTTTCTGTGCCAGGCTTTTTTCTTCTTCGATACTCGTATTATTTTTTCTGCCAATGACTAAAATGACGAAATGTAGTCCTCGATATTCTTTTGACTTCATGGTCACTATATTACATATATGTTGATGAATAAAATGAATTTAGTTTGAAGACATGACGTTTACCCGTGATCTCGCTGTTATTTTTGCGAACAAGACAATCTGCCCCAGTTCCATCCCTCCAATGATCTATGGCTGCTAATCCTGTAAAATTGACCCCATTAGGGACAGCGTATTTCTGGACCAGGGTGATGATTGGTGGATCCTTTTGCCATTTGTGAAAAAGCTCGAAGCGTTTAATCACAACGTCTAGCCCAGTGTTTGTAACCCCGTTATCAATTTTACAACGTGTCTGGCAGGAGTATCTTGAACGGTGCTCCAAGCATTATAAGCATCGGTTAAGATTTGGTCGTTTTCATTAAGATTTTCCAATACGTCTGCCGGATTTGCTAAAAATTCTGACTCTGAAATAAATCCTGTTAAATCATGCATGGAACCACCTGTGTAATGCAACCTTACGATCGTCCTCAGCGCCTGAATCCTGCCAAAGACGACAGCTGAAAGGACATCGGCTAAGCATTTGGTCATCATTGTTATCTTGATATTGTGCGGGGGCAAAGACGAACCAAAATACCAGGGTGGCGATAAGTGTAAAGTGACTGGGTTTTATGGAGAAATTGATAAAATATTGATTTTCTGATACTGTAGTTATTGTAAATATTGAATCTCTGGGTTTACTTCCGGGTTTTTGCCAATTTAACAAATTCCAAACTCAAGCGATAGATTTTTCATTTCTAAATATTTACCTGCCACATATATTTACATACCCAAATAAAATGGTGAAATGAGGAGGTTAAGACACTTCTTCTTACCAAAATTCTAGTCAATAACTAATTGATAATTGATAAAAAATCCGTGTAAAACATTTCATTCACTCTGGACTTGATTTGTTTTATTCATATCAGTAATCAAATGCGGCAAAGCACGGTACATAAGTAGCGCAATAATGCAGAGAATGCTGAGAATGCTGAGAATTAATTTGCGCTATAAAGCTCAAATTAATTTAATTAATTAATTACTGATTGATTGATTAATTAAATTAATGACTGATTGATTAATTAATTGATTAATGATTGATTAATTAATTAATTGATTGACTGATTGATTAATTAATTGATTAATGATTGACAACACAGAAAAACATGTTTTGCGTAAATTTCATGCATATCGCCCAAAAAATGCCGAATTAAAAAGAACATGTATGTTCAGAATTACTTTCTTTAGAATACATGTATGTTAGTTTTCAAAATTTCGAAAATTTTAGGTTCTACGAGAATTGGAAATGTTTCCAAATTCAATAACGGTGCAAAAATTCAAATTTTTCTAATTTTTTAAAAACATAATTTTAAGATCTCTGGTCATTCCGAACATAAATTTTTTCGATTGTTTCAATTCGCGGCAAAATCCAAAAAGTTTCAGCTGTTTGAAAATCTGACATTTTGGCTGCAAGAAAATTTGAAATTCCCTCCACGCGCTTAAAAATGCACATTCATGGAAAAGAACAAATACCGGTCAGCTTATTTGAGGATGTGGACAAAATGCCTTCTCATTGTAAGAATAATGATATCTTAATTGTAATCACAGCTTTTGACGATAATGTGGCAACCAAAATTTTGCATCAGAAATTTTTGGATGTGAAATGTGTGAATGGTTATCCAATTGACAGTGTTCTGTTGGGTATTAAAGTAATTAGAAATTCAAGATTTGTAACCGAAGTTCAAAAGATCGATGTTATTGCAAAAAAATGCGTTGTGAATTTGCTCCCATATTGCAAATCCAAATATAATTAGATTTGTATCCCTATGATTAATGTTATATAACTAATCAATATAATATATCAATGTGTATATTGCAAATGAAAGAGAAATTAATGTATAAGTAATATGTATGTCTGTATAATAAATTGTACTGTGAAAAATGAACAGCGTGCGTAGTAAAGTCATATAAAAAGTCACGATAAAACGCTTAAGACAATATTGGCAACTGTTGCATAAAAGGATTGGGATTTGGTAGGGAAAGCATCTCGTAATACGACTGGGAAGAATGCGGATTTTACAATCGATATCTGAAAGCCGGTAGTATGCTTGGCAAATGATTGGGTTTTAGTTTCATGATACTATTTACATTGTATAAAATACCGAATTTGGTAAAACTACTGTTTTATTTAAATGTGTCCTACGAGGGTTTATTTCACATTACACCCAACATCCAAATTACGGGCAATTGCGGCAATAGTACTGTAGCTCGAATGTATTTCGAATCTTCTGCTCCTTATTGGAATAAAAATAATATTTCAAAGTACTGTACGTCACGTGATTCCCAGTTAATCCATAATTGCTGCAAAAGCCATACAACCGGTTATCACACCATTCTCCCATATACCCAACGTTAGCTTGCATCGACAAAGCGTAGCCAGCACCCAATGGCAAGGAGAATGTCGGTTGTGACGATAAACAAGCTTAGCTCGTTCTCGTTAGTGCCTCCATCCACCGGGTAAATAACTTCTATTTAATAATTCAGGCGTTATCTATTGAATGACACCAATTTTGGCTCATTTGGCCGCGGGAATCGGCTGGAATGTTAAACGATGTAAAATCCCTATCTCCACAACGTATTATAAGAACTCTGACCCAATAGTTCTCCGTAATGGCTTGACCAATTACCTAAATTTTATACATGAAATACAAGTAGGTTGGATTGAGCACGTTGACACATATAAGTATCCATTTCAAAGTAATACCTTAACCGCCAGATTTATTCGAATCTGGCCCACAGTGCACTGGTGCTACTAATTTGGTAAAATTTGCACATGGGGCAAATTAATTAGCATCAATTGATGCAAAAAACTCGTGAACAGACAGACAGACGGACAGACAGACGGACAGACGGACAGACAGACGGACAGGAGGAATTCAATAGCTCTCTTGCTACGCAGGGCGAGCTAATAACTATCCTTATGTAAATGGTGAAAGAATTTTTAAAAGCTCAACAATACTGGATCTTTGACGAGTGCTTGAACATGTTGGGTTTCGTAATTTTTCCCCTTTCAGAACGTTTGGCTGGTACGAATGTGGCCATTAATCGAGCCGTGCCGCAAACTTCCAGTGCGGATT